TGGGCAGAGAGGGAAAGAGAGAGAGGGATTACTAAACAAGGCTTATATATCTTTGGGGGTGTGCATGCCTCCTAATTACAGGTAAAGACATACTTCACAGGAAGGGTTTGTACAATAAGCATAAGCGTAACAGGAAGGGGATGAGCTAGGGGTGTACACGTAATAGGAAGGGGAGGCACTAAGGCACACGTGACAAGAAGGGCGGACCCTGGATTCAATATGGGAGCCTAACCTTGGTCACTCTTGAGTGGGCTTGACCTCCCTGGGCTCTCCTACAGGGAAACAATCTACTACTATCCTTGTCAGAAGGGAGTGGGCCCTACATAGGGTGGGACAGACTATACAGTCTGATTGCTCTGGATGGCTGACACCCTTAGGGAGAATAACCTCTGACCTACTTTCTTTGACCTCCAAGTATATAGTCATTTATCATGTGTAGCAAGCAGCTAAGTTTGGCATATATTTGGGGGAGACAACTTGGGAGAAATCTTTCTGTTTCCCACACTATTTTATTTGAAAATAGGAACTATAGTTTGTAGATAATAAGCTATTAATGAATAAAATGAAACTTGATTATTGTGGGGATCCCCCAAAATAACGAACTTAGAGGTAGATTGTTAAGACATGCCATACAGACACATTCTTCTGTCAGTCCATCTAGCCCTCTTCGGGAAGCTCACTTTGTAAAAGAGTCCAGGTGTCGAGGTGGGTCTCTAATTGGCCGTGTGTCCCTTGCTCTCACAGCATGTCACATCCTGGAGTGTTGTGGTGGACTTGCCCAGGATGTCATCAGCTCCATTGGACAGGCATTTGAGCTTCGGTTCAAGCAATATTTACAGTGTCCTTCCAAGATACCTGCTCTTCATGATCGGTGAGTAATGTTGAAACACAGATCTCTACATTTCCTTCCTTGATATTTGCCCTTTCCTTTTAAAAACACTAAAAGGGAGAAAATTATAAAAACCACAGAAAGGATCTGTATGTCCGCTCTAAACACCTCACAGTGGGTCGAACCAAGAAGGGAACATACAGATCAGCAATGGGAGCAAAGCAAAGCCACAAAGCTGACACTAAGGGCTCAATAGAAAGCCCCCAAGGAGTTGCCCAAATAGACTTCAGGCTAGGAGAGGCAGCTCTTGGAATTCCCCCAGGACCAGTGGGAAGAGTCATAAAGGTCAGCAGACAGACCTGGAATTATGTATGCTTTCTGTTTATTCGCTAGTTATTATTACCTTTTAATTTTTTTTCTCTTTTTATCCAATCTTTTGTTTTGTCTCTGTTATTGTTGGTTTGCTTACTTATATAACACAGGGATGGGAAGCAAGCCTGAGGAGAAAGCAATGGGATCAATGGCCCCAGACGGACCTGGGGGGAGAAGGAGGCGGGGGAAGGGAGCAGTGAGTAAACAATGCCATAGATAGGGGAATAACTAGAGAATTAAAATCAACAATGAGGAGAACATAGAGATCCTGGGGGTGTTGGAGCAACAGCAATCTAGTTGAGAAGAATTACTAAGAGACGGAAGTAGGGCGAGCCTGGTGGTGGTACAGCAGGAAGGTAAAAGGAAATCGAAGAAAGACCTAGGAAGCAAAGCTATGGATAGAGGTATAAGCATAGGTATGTACATATGTAAGCACATTAATTCAAAAAAATAGAAGCAGTGGCCTATGTACATATATTTATAAGGCAATACACTGAAGTAGTGGATGGGCTTCAGGCCTCTGCTCATGGCCTCCCTCAATGCAAGAACACTTTGTTCTAACAACCTGGCTTTCTGTGATGCTCACCCTCCCGGCACAATCACTGAAGACAAAATGGGTGCATAATCAAATGTGATGAAGAAAGTGTGTGGTGCCAGCTATCAAAAGATATAATATCTGGGGTGTTAAAGGCTTGAAGTTAAACAGGTAGCCATCTAGCAGAGAAGCAACAAGTTCACATGGAAGAAGCACACCAGCCTGTGCAATCATGAGGTGTTGACGGGATTGGGTAATAGGCATCAGAAGACACAAAACAAACAAACAAGAAAAAAA